CTTTTCCTATTGTTATTTTTAACCACTAAAGCTGCAAATTGAAAAATAAAGTGGTTCCTTTATTAATCTTCACCCTTTTACCCTTGCTGAAAGAGCATAATTTTGCTGTGTGAAGTTGCTATTTATTGTGTTCAGTCATTCAGAGTGTTGTTGTATTCTTGTCATTCTTGCCTATAGTGTTCTACTTAATAGATAGTGATTTAGCAGTCAGTTGTTCAGCCATGTTAAATTAGCCCAAGAGAAAAAATTGGATAATGTCCATAGTTGACTTTTTTTAACTTTGGAAGGGGAAAGAAAATCACTAGCATGCATTAGTAATAACCTGTTGAAATTCTCCTGTAAACAAGAAGTGCATCTTCGCCTCAAGACCTGTTTCAAAATTGTGTGATGGCTTAAAAATAATTTTTTAACTCTTTTCCTAGTTGCCTACTAGGAAAACTGTTTACTACATTGGACGAGGTGCATTTTGGACAAGAAAGAGTTTAGAACACCCAGCTTCACTGTGTGTTCTAATGTTGGTGTTCAGAGCACTGTCCTTGTCTGGAGTGAATTACATTTTCCTTGCATATCCATATGCAGAACAATATTTCCTTACTGCTTCGTATTGGACGTGTTTATTTTTTGATAACCATTGTTTCTGACATTTGCATGAAGTAGGCAATTTTATTTTGAAAGAAATTGGGTTGTTACTTTATAAAAGAAATAAAATAGAATTGAAAAAAATGTGAGAGTTGATAGAAATATTTGAAAGTAAAGCATTATTGCTGTACATCAAATCTTTAATTAAGATACTAAAATGTTACGGGTTTTTTGAGAAGCAATTATTGTAAGAGATCTCTTTCTGAGCTTTAATGATGAAGGATTAATACAGCCAGTAAGGTACAGCGATTACTGAGCCTTGCTGCTACTGCTATGGTTAAATATGTATATGCTTTTTGAAAGGGAGAGCTCCTCTTGTCCTTAAATGCACGTATAAAAAGAGTACATATGGCACCTTTAACCACAGTCCATAAAATAAAATATCCACCCCCTTTACATTTGGCAAAATATGGGGGTTTACGCTGCACAGCAGGTGCTTCTACAGAAATTCAGGGTCCTTGTGTGCCCATTGCTTGGGAGGGTCATCAAAACTGCTCTCCTGTTAATACTTCAGTGTTCAGGGCAGAGATGCTAAGGTAAGCTGCTGAGTTGATTGCACCATATGTTGTGAAAGGCTGAGGAGGCCTCTCTTGTGCTGAAAGAGCAAAGCATAAAGTTTGGGTTCAACAGACCAAGGTGAAAAAATGCGTCTGCATAGTGTAATGAGGGGAAAGCTTGTGTGCTCCTGGTGGGGTTACTGTTGCTGGCTCCTCTCATACTAAGAGGTAATTATGTTCTGCACCACCTGTTTCTGAGCATCCCTCAAAGTTTTAACCCTTGGGGAGACTGAATTATGTGCTGGATGGAGATCACAAATCCATAACTAATTCTCAGCAAAATCCACACAATTGGTAAACCGGGAAGGCAGAATTAAAATGGATTATGAAGGGATTTCCAAGCAAATTGTTTTCCCTGCTGCCTTGCTTCAAGTTTCTCCCAGCACTCACATGCAATCCACTTGAAAAAGTTTTCTGACTCCAGCCATCATTTGGCTTCAAATTATTTAACCTCCCTCAAAATATCTTGTACTGTAATGCTAAATCTTGGAGTGTTGTCACAGAAATCTTGAGATCTCTGTCATGTGAAGAGACTGTGGGGTAGTCTGGAACTTCTTTATGGTAACGTGATTATCCCAGAGTTTTATATTCTCTCCCACTCACATATTTTTCAATAATAAAAACCTTTACTCAGAGGGGCTTTTAGAAAGTGGGATTTTATAAGCTGTACTTTATTTGTGTGAAAAGAAATTTCTTCATTACCTTGTTTTGACCATCAATTGTCTTTATTTATGTACTCACATAAACATATATGCATTTTTGTCCTTCCCAAAAATTTGCTGTACCATACTTGGCTATACTGCAAGATGCATCAGATGTACAAGTTGATTTCTAATACATAAATAAACAAAAATTCATCATAAATATGTCTGGGGGAAAAAAATATGAATTGAAGGGAGCCATTATTAGAAAGAGAGAATGATGAAGGTGACTTTGCTATTTTGGCTACTACACCTGGGATAATCCCTTTCAGTGTTGCACAGGATCCCAGTGTAATTCCAAGCAAATAGGCCTTGAACATCCACATACTGAAATCACTAAATAGGTTTCTATATTTAATTTGGAACAATACTGCTTCTAATTAAAAACTCTCTTACTAGAGCACTCAATGCTTGGAAAGTCAGGTTAATGTAACCTGAGTTGAGCTGGCAGTTGAAGGGGAGCAAAATTCTCTTTGTTTTAGCTTTGTGACTACTGCTCTGAACATAAAAGTTCCTGATGTGAAATTGTTTGTCGTTCTTCTGGGCACATGTTAAGCAATTGGGGTCTTTCCTATTTTTGTTTTTAAGATGAAGTCTGAAACTCTTACATGTTAAAGACCAGTTCAGTTAAGTACGAGTTGCCTATAGGGGTATATTCCAATTTTTTGATTAATCACGGCATTGATACTTGTCTGGGTATAAGTTAACTGAGTCCATAAGATT